ATGTCCAAGACATATCTCCTATCAAAAAGTCTGCAAGCAAGAAGGTTTCTGTTAGGGTTCTTGATGCTCCCCTTGACAACATTTCCTTCCATTCTGTTGGGAATGCTGAAAAGTGGAAGTATGTGTTTCAAAGAAGAATTGCCCTGGAAAGAGAATTGGGAGCTGGTGCTCTGGAATGTAAAGAAATCATGAAGTTGATATCTTATATTGGATTGATGAAAATAGTTACTAGGTTTGTCAATTGCTATGAAACTCTTGTTAAGGAGTTTATTATTAATATTCCTGTTAACTGTATTGACCATAAAAGTAAGGAGTATAGAAAGGTTTTTGGTAGAGGAAAGTGTGTAGAATATTCTCCTGCCATCATAAATAGATTTCTAGATATGTCTAAAGATGTCTGTTGTGAGCTGGAAGTAACAGATTATCAAGTGTGCAGAGCCATCATTGCTAATCAAGTAAGTGAGTGACCCATGAAAAATAAACTTCCTGTCAGCAAGCTAAGTTTGAAATATGCTATTTTACATAGGATTGGAGCTGCAAATTGGGTTCCCACTAATCACACTTCAACCATCTCCATTAGATTAGGAAAGTTTATTTATGCTGTTGCAAATCAGAAACTTTTTTATTATGGTACTTACGTATTTGATCAGACTGTTAAGCATGCAGGAACTTATGCCATTAAGATGCCAATTTCTTTTCCTTCCCTTATCTGTGGAATTATTCTTAATCAGCATCCTGGGATTCTAAGTGGTAATGATGTAGTGTGCAAGAGGGAGTCTGCTTTGACCCTTCATTTTAAATTTTTTTTTCCAGGAAAACATGTCCCAGACATTGTTTTGACATCTACACCTGCTAAAAGCAAGACCTCCACCAAGGATGACATGATCAATGAATTAAGAGAAACCTGTAAGGAATTGGATGATGTGATCAGAGTTAGTTCAGCAAGGAAGCTAAATTTTGAAAAGATGATCAAGGACCTGCAAAAGAACAACAACCTTTATGATACGGTGAACTCTGAAGGTGAAGACTCTAGTGAGGAAGGAAGTTCTGGATCAGCCAAGTCAATTGGTCCTGAAGACAGTTAGACTAATTGATGTTTCTTTATTAGAACCTTTTGTTTCATTTTGGAACTTGCATGTGCTTGACATTTGATGGTCTATACCTAAATTACTGATACACTCTTGAATGCATCCTTTTATTTGGCACATTATGACTAAAAAGGGGAGAGAAAGTGACTGACTGACCACTTACCACTGACCATTGACTGATCACTGATTGAGGGGGAGCTTAATACTTGAGTGGGAGCCTCATGTTTCAGAAGATGTTTTGACATCTTCCTTGCTAACAGATAACAGCTAACTGAGTTTGTGCTTTGCTTTCTTTGCTTATGCTGTTAATCTGATATTGTTCTGATAATATATTTCTCTGATAATATGCTCTGATAATGTTTTAGCCAAAATTTGTCAAAGGGGGGGGGGATTGTAAGTGTTTGTTGATAGCAATTTTGGTAAAATAATGTGATGTTAATGTTTTGCTAAATGTCTTGACATTTGTAGCAAACTGTTTTAAATGATGTCAAAGCAGATGTCTTAACATCTGCCTCTTGAACTGAACTCAGACCAACATCAGTTTATGTTTTCTATTTCCTGATTTTCTGTGCATCATAATTCAGGATTTGTGACTCACTGGCTGCGAAAAATATGGAAGAATATTTTTCAAATTGCATGAATTTTATCTTGGCCTGTTTTTTTATGGAAATATTCAAAAGAATTGAATATTTAGTTTTAAGTCCAAGTCCACAGCTGCGCATATATAAGGACTTGCTTTCTTATTCAAACTACTGTAACTTTTGAAGAAGAATACTTTCTTTACGTCTTAGAAGTCTAAGTCTTTTAATTGTCAAACACTCTAGTATTGATTTAATGCTTGTGTTGTTATTTGAATTGTTAATTGTGTATCATTCATAAGCTTTTAAGTATTGAATGATTAAAGTTTTTAAACTTATTAATTCTGTTGTTTCTTCATTGTAAGTGATTGAAGGGATTTGATGAGGACCTCATACCTAGATGAGTCTTAGGTAGAAGTATATCACAGGTATGATTAAGTGATTAGATCGTAAACTGGTTGTTTATTGAGGGTCTATGAATTGATACTGTTTAGTGGACTTGTCCCTGACTTGGTAGCCAGGTGTTGTTGTACACTGAACTGGATTAATATTTTCTTGTATTTTTACTGCTTTTATTATTGTTGCACTTTACTTTGTTCCTCAGATATTTGTATCGTGACATCTCATTCGACATCACATATCTGATACCAGAATTTCAGATTTCTCTTCTCAAAAGCAAGAAAATAAATTTTATAGGAACTTTGCTTGCAAGAACCTCACTCCAGCTCACTCTATGGATGAAATTTTGTATCTATGTGCTTATACGTACAATATATATATATATATATATATATATATATATATATATATATATATATATATATATATATATATATATATATATATATATATATATATATATATATATATATATATATATATATATATATATATATATATATATATATATATATATATATATATATATATATATATATATATATATATATATATATATATATATATATATATATATATATCACTCAAATGATCTTAGTGATTTTGATGATGACAGTATTATGATGTGAAGTCTTCATATGAAGTTATGATCAAGATGATCAAATTTCTATACTTGTGAGATCAAGATGTCTAAGTCAATCTTTCTAAGAATAACATCAAATATCAAGCGACATTCGATAGAATTTTTGATGATCTCTGATCAAACAATTTCTAATGATAATGTCTATCAAAAATCTTTATCAAACATTAGATAGAAGAAGCCAAATTTTATATGCAGTGTTGAATCAATAATAAATCAAACAAATAATCTTTAAACTTTAAAACTTGTGAAAGAGAACATTCTCAAATTAGAGTAATTCTCAAATTACAAAGCATATAGTCACCTAAAGTGTTTTAACCTCTCTAAATTTACTTAAACACCTTAAAATCTTTAAAATAAACCATAAAAATACTTCTGAGACTGATCAAGAATGTTTCTAAAAGTTAAGAAATTTGTATATACTTTCTAAACGATTAAGACCTTTAGCTAATCAATTAAAGAAAAACATAAAGCATCTTAATCGAATAAAAACACTCATAATTGATTAAGACAATAATCATTATAAATTTTACGGATTAGAGTTGTAATATTTTAAAGTTCATATTTGATTAAAATATGTATAAGCAATTATGACTTTTAAATGTCTATGAATCATTTTCGTTTTTGACATTTTTTTACTCAACTAATATTAATTGACTTTTTAAAATATATATTAATTGATAACGAGCATAAAGAACAACTAGTAAAACATGTGAGAACTACTAATTACAACAGAAATTTCTAAAAATTGACACATCTGTGAATGCTTGGGACCTACGAGTGATCCTTTTCAAGATTTTGAATTTAAATTTCACTATGTATTAGTATATGTATTAAAAATTCAAGAATTTAATTAGCCACCTCAAAAAAATTTAAAATTTATTATGAGACCTCCTAATAACCACTGCTGTTATTTTTACGTCCTTCCAAAAAAAATTGAAAAATTATTTTTCGTTCAGCAGAAATTTCAAAAAATATCAAAATTTTCATAAAAAAATTACCGCATTTTTTAAAATTCCAATAGTTCATATTCTACCCAAAAAAATTCTTACACAAAAATTTCAAAACTCAGATAAATTACAACACTTTCCAAAATTTGTGGTAATCTACAGCAGTTTTCAAAATTTTCAATGGTGTTAAAAAAAATTTAATTCATACCAACAATTTAAAAATAAACTACACAAAATTGTAAATAGTAGTGGTATTATAAAAATATTGGGTTGGAGGATGTCAAGAATTTAAATTCTAAAAATTCATATATTAATCCAATTTATACATAACTTTATACGATTTTAAATAGAGCCCGCACAAGTGGATGATATGGTTGACTTTCTTCGAATTTTTGTAAAACAGGAAGTAAATTAATTTTGAATTTTCTTTGAATATCAACACGTATCCATTAAACTATTAACTATAACTATTATACCTCAATTAAAAGCTAAGATTAATAAACCCAAAATTTGAATGAGGTGCCTAAAGTTTCTACTACCTCGACGCTTGATATAAAATTTTCTAATTAAATTGCAAATTAATAAAATAACCTGTTATTTTAGATTAGTTGAGTTAATATATACTTTTACAAGTTTACCATCCAAGAGAGAAACTTAGTTTGGTTTTTTCATAAAAATATTTCTCACATAAAATATGCAACATAATTAAAAACTATTGGTAGGGCACGTAAAATTGATGACTGTTCAATTAAAGTGGGCTTATGATGACGCACTTCTAAAATTGCAGAAAATTAACAATTCACAAACATGTAAGATACTTTTAACCCACAAGTTTTGTAAACATGTAACAAATTTTCATTTCTGATAAATAAATTACCCACACTTTTTCAATTGGCAACTTATAAAAACAAAAAATTAATATTCCTATGACTACTTTTAAAAAAGGTGAGTGCATTAATTCAACACGCCTACGGAAATGCTGTGAGCTCATAGAACCTTGTTCATTTATGGAATTTGAACAGAAGATTTGGTCAAGCATTTTGAGCAGCATTATGTAAAAGTGGATTGGGGAATTACTAAACTAAAAGTTACTTTCCTGGTTCATTATTTGTCATTTTCATGCATAAATTTCTAACGTGTTATGAATCAGAGTTTCACCAATAAGTCATCTTAGTTATATCTCAATATCAGGAACCATACTTGCCGGCACTATTCTTACCAAGGGTTTGCTGTTTGTGTATTCTGGCAACGTGCCAGTGGTGTGGTGTGTGTATCTTCTAAGTATTGGTACTGTTGCCAGAATACCCGTATCAAGACAAATCATGCTTACAATCAATCATACAGGTCAGTGATTGAGAGCACTTCGAATTGACAGCGGCGGGTTTTGAACTGTACCTCTTGTTATAAGGTCAGAGTTTAAGAATAAAACAATAACAGTTATATCATCATGAAAATGTCGTCGAACTTTCTTGTCAATTGAACGAAGGTCTGAATACCGCATTTCGCGTTTTCTAGCTGCTTCCTGCAGGGCAGCCTTGATAAGTCTCTTGGCACTACCCTGCATTAAAATAAACAAAATAGATAAAAACAATTAATATAAGCAAATGCAGCAAGGCTGTGAAAGAAACTACAAAATCAACAACCAGCTAAAAATTAAAAATCACCCCTCAATTCAATTATCTCCATATTTACAGATAACTTAAATGCAAACGTCATGTCATCAAATAATATTTCAACAACCTAAAAAAGCTGCCCAAGTATTATTAGGGGAACATTGACATACTCGATCAGAAGATCCAACTGGTCTAAGGTTGTTTAGGATAATAGAATAAAAGATAATTAGAGTGGTTAAGAGCTGTTTGATAAGTTAGTTGATTAGTTTGTTAGGTTCTATTGTCATTTTGGTTATTCATAGGAAGTCTTTAAATAGCCTTCAATGGTTGAGGGGAAGGCATAGATTTAAATAATTGAGTTTTATGATTGGGTAATCCAGTGTGAAGGAGAGTGCCCCTTTGAGAATATTCTGTGCATTCGCTTTTCATATTGCTGTAAATAAAATAAATAATTCCAGCCCCTCTAAACATCATTCTTTTGATTACTCAATATTGTTCTGTTCTGAGAATTCTTTCTAACTCAAAGAAAAGATCCCAACAGCGGTTGAGCCTTTTAAGACCAGGTTTGATCTTGTCTCACAACAGAAAAAGGTTCAGAGTAGTATCCAACATCGGGTTAGGAACAAGGTAAAGTAATCATCATTCTTTTGATTACTCAATAATCAAGATTGTTCTGTTAGGGGATTCTTTTTTACTCAGAAAAGAACCTAACAGTTGTGAGTCATTTAAGACCAGGTTTGATCTTTTCTCACAACAAGACTAGGTTCCGAGTAGTGTCATGTGTTATAACACAACATCAGGTTAGAAACAAGTTAAAATACTCTGATCACTCCCGAATCACTCCATGTCTGGCTTAGATTTAGAAACTCTAATGTAAAGTAATATATTTACTAATTGCACAAGTATTTTATGCATTACTATACTATACTATACTGTATTTCGGATCAACTCATTCTCGTCCTACATGGACCAGTCTTAGTTGAACAAGATTTGACCTCTTCAAATTGTAAGGCTGGGTAAGAAACAAGCATATCCATCCTACTCCGGCTCATAATAGAACAAGCATAATCCATCCTATATGACAGTTTTTATTGAAAACAAGTGACTGGCTATACAGAGGGCCTGTTTGAATAAACAGCTTTTTGTAGCTTATAGCACGAGTGCTTATCAAAATAAGCGCTTACAAATGAGTTTGCATAAGATATTTATAGAACAAAAGATAAGTAAACTTAAATTGTTTTTAAATATGCTAAGTTATTTTCATAAGCTATCTTGGAAAATCTATAAAAATAAGTTCAAAAAAGTTTATAAAAAATGTCATAAGCTGTTTTGAAATGGTCTCCCAAACGGTGTCACACAACTTATGCAAGTAGATAAGCTCAAACAAGCAAATCCAAACAAGCCCAAAGTTGACAAAAATGTCACTCATCCACCACTTTTGATGCCTTCGAGCTTAATGCCTTGTTGCCTCTTACTATTCTCTGGTTTAGACAGTTGGCTTATAAAAAAACTTATTGGGCTCATTATGAGCTCTATGAGGCCTTTGGAGTATGATTATGAGTTTTCATTTGAGTTTAGTAAAATGCTTTGATTTGAAGGTTAATTTTACCTATCGATGTAACTTTCCATATTACAATTGACGGCTTTTCAACCTCCATCCCTCCCAGTGCCTAAATAAGATTTTGATTTTGACAACATTAATAGACACTCCTTGTTTCACTGTAATATTACACGAGAGATAACCTGAGCTATGTTCATGATTCAATCGATGGGTTTAATTGAGTACAAAACAACACAGTAAAAACAATGCATTTAGTTGTAATATAAACTGAATATAAGGAAACTAAGTACCAAGAGTACAAAAATAAGTGCTGTAAATTAATAAAGAAAAAAAAAACAAAGTAAAGAAGAATCTTACCGCACGGGGACTTCTATGAACAATCTCGACTGCTTGATCATTATTCAGGTGCTCCCATAAACCATCTGATGCAAATATTAGGAAGGAATCATTTGGTTGGAGAGGATGAGAAAGAATAGATGGATTAGCAGACAAGATAGGCATGTTCATTGGTTCAGGAAGTCTGAACTTCGCATTAATTGGTTCCTGGTTAAACTGTGCATGTTTCATATATACGTCACCTATAGATCTAGAAACCTGCACCAAATATCATAGAAGTAATTGAGTGATATTGTCACTAAATCAGTGTGAGAAAAGCAACGCTAACAAATAATATAATGGTTATAACTTATAAGAGCTACTTAAGAAAACAAACATTTTTCATAAATCAAATTTATAAAGCAGCACGGGATTAAACTAGAAGGCATATTGCATATTTAAAAGCTTGACGTGATTGCCGCCATATTCATTTTTCTCATACATAACTGTGAGATAAAATGGAAATAGCTTTTTTCTATTTTCGAAGAAGCCATACCTGAAACACTGTTTTACCAGTGTTCTGATAAACATAACATCAAGCAAAGTAAAAACATATCTCGTGTTTCTATTTCTTATCACATCAATCATAAAATAATTTAATTTTTCAAATAAAAAATAGAGATTAATTGATATGCACTGTCAGTGTAAATTTTTTTACACAATCAATGCATCACAACCACTCCTATGTAATACTTTTAATGTGACTAAGGCAAAAGTCAAACGGTTATAAAAATCTGACGGTTATGATTACACCGTCAGTGTATATCAATTAAATTCTAAAAATAACTATCTTTCATAACTTTTGATCTTTTGAAACTTGGAAAATATTATAAGAACTAACAGTCGCACCCCATGTAAATTATGAGACACACCAATCTTTCAATCAATCAAATGAAGGTCCCTTATAGTGTTTTAACATGAAACACCCATTGCTGCAAGCAGTCTCATGATATCAAAATTTCAAGGTACAATAGCATATTAATTTCCCGAGCCATGTGCACCAAATTAGCCTGTGAGCTAAACTTTGAAGTGAAGTGATTTATGCTTGAATACTTTTACTCGAAAAGCAAGTTTGACATAAAACATAGTAAAAATTCACATCAACACAAAAGCTAATATTTATACTTCTAGGAAAACTAACTTTGGAGGCAAAGTCAGTTCTAATACAATCTAACCATACATAACAAAATCATGTATGTCCTAAGGAAAATCAATTTTCACATTCTCAACCGTGCATCCAAAAGGAAATAAATAAATAAATAAATAAATAAATAAATATATATAAATAAATATATATATATATTTTTTTTTTCTTTATTATTTTTTCCATCCAACCAAACAAGGGGACAAAAAATTTAGCACTGCTTTATTTTCTAATTCCCTTCATCAAAACCAATGTAGAAAATCATCTTAATTTCTCTTCATTTTTTCCCTACCCATTTTCCCCTCAAATCCAAACAAACAAACAAAATTCCTTTAAAAGCAAACAAGACCTATAGTGTTGTGTCAGGTATTTTATGCTTAAAGTGTCTCAGAGTTGGCATGAATATTCCCATAGATGCCGTGCTTAAAATTCATGCACGGTTGTTAGTTGCTAGCACATATATCCTGAGTAAATATAAAAGGATAGAAACTGCTTTATATACTACTAATCTAACATGTCAGAATGAATTCTGTCAATATTACACAATATTTAATGTGTGATATTTACATATTTGTTCCTTTATCTAAATATGTTTATTGTCATTCAAATCAAGAGTACAACTCTCTTTTTGAAATTCCAAGATGAAATATATTACACTTGACAAAATAAATAAACAAATGTATAAAATAAGAGTGTTCGGAACAATCTCTTAGTCTCTTTTCAACACTCTCTCTAACACTTATTCTCTTGTTGAGTAAAACACATGCGGGTCTCAAGCTTTATAAATGGGTCTCACATAAAATAGTGGAACTCATATGTTTCACCCAATAATAGAATGAGTGATAGAGTGTTAAAAAGAGAATGTTCCTAGCACTCATAAAATTTACATGTTAATTTTTTTCTGTATTACTGTATACAGAATCAAATGCACAAGAAGATCAGATTTTGAAAGGCAATAAAACAGCTCTTAAGCCTAAACCAGGCAAATGAATTTTATGTTTTATTATGTTGTGCCTAAACTTTTCATTTGTAAACATGCCAATGGACAAGACACTCAGTAACATTTATAGCAATGTTATGTGGCAATCAAATGAACAGTTTAGCCTGATACATATTACATGGGACTGTTAAGTTGAATTTTGAACATTATCACCAATTATCATTCACTATACTTCCCAAGTCTGCTTAGCATCCGTTATATGGAACTATATGTCACAATGCTTTAGCAATTTAAAAAGGTTAAATTTGTAAGAGAGTAGATTCAGTATAGCAAGAATCATTAGTTACTTTTCTTTTCTGAATCAACAAACAACTAAAAAGGAAATAGAATAAAGTTATTGTATTATAAATCTCCTTGAAAAACTCCTTATTTTCTAAATCATTATGTACATCGGAGGAATTTCTGGCAACAATATTGCAGAACATAACTGAAGGGGCAAATTGAGTATAGATAACATGAATTGGGGAAAACACAACCACCTATTATCACAACACAAAACAAAAGTTTCTTCCACACAACACTTAAGTACAAAATCAGAAAACAAAATAAAGAACTAAAGCAACCAACAAATGTCTAATAGACCACCATATTCAACAATTCAATAACATAAAGTTTACCTGAATAATGCCTTTTACTCTCCACACCCCATGCTTGAGAACAACAATCTGAGGATCATGAGGGTGTAACTCTTTAAGTTCATGTCTAACAGCCTCAAGATTCGCATTATGTTCCGTAGACAGCTGAATCGCCGCAACCCCACCCGTATTCCCAACTTTCTTTCCCAAAACAACACGCGAATCTCCTAAATTTGCAACAAAAAGCGTCTGCTGAAAAATCACTCCAACCAAACAACACGTTCCAGTAGTCGCAACTTGAGGCCGAGTATTCCATAAATCAGTAACCATGGCAGTAAACCCCTCTTCAGTCGAACGAAACGCGGTTTGAATTGTCTCGGCAGTCACAACTCCCTGTGACTCACTCGATGCCGCTGCACAAACAAGATAACGAGAGCCAATCATCAAAACTTTTACTACATTAAAATCAAACCTACCAAAATAAGAGTAGTTAAACGTATCAAAAACAGTATCTACGTGAAATTTTCAACCACTATTTGATTCACGTGAAAACTGAAAAGGAAAAAATAATTAAAAACGATCACGAGTAAGCGAATCCGTGAAAATCACGGGAAAAAGGATATAACTAACCCTACATAAGAGAGAATAAAAAACCTTGAAAATTGCGGAACAAGTGATCGCAAACGTAACGCGCAGCATCGGGTCCACCGTGGCCGTCGTAAACGCCGACAAATGTTCCAAGCGGTCCAGATTCGATCTGGCTCTGATCTTCGAGGATTTGATTGGCCTGAACAACGGCCATCGAGAATTCACCGGAGCCATACCTTCCGATGTCGCGAAACCAAAGCAATCCGTCTTTGCCTTCTCTTCCAACAATGCCTGCTGAAGAATCGTCACCGTGCCCGAACGGCTTCCAACATGGAGAGAGAAGATTCATCAATGGCTGAAGCATCCCACATCTCTCAGAAACCCTAACCCTAATACCCCAACACCGGAACGAATTCCAATGGGGTGGTGATATGATATGAATCTGGCAGATGAATAATCGAGAGAGAAGGGTTAATAGAAGAAGGTTATGGAAAAGAGGGGGAGTGCGTAGGTTAAGAATGAGGCGCAAGATAGAGAGAGGTGGTGAAGGAAGAGGGGTGTGTTCTGTTCGGTGGTGAAGGAACAAGAATGGGCTGGTTTTGTTTGTCGGGAGAGGATGGTGTGGGGAAGCCCTTGTTGTTGCGTGTTCTTCTTTTCAATCACCTTTTTTTATTAAAAATAATAATATTTTAGAAGTTACCATCACCTTTCTTTCACTCTTCCTTTACATCTTTACATTTATGAGAATAATTTTCATTTATTGTCATTGTAAAGTGTTTTTATATATTCAATCAATAAAAAAATCAACAATTTGATATGTTATTAAAAAAATTTAAAGTTAAAAGTGAGATATAATTATATAATTGTGATTGATTGATAATATAAAAATATTTTGTAATATTAGTGAATCACTTCTTTTCTATATATTTATTTTATTATTTTTTATGAATCGGTTGTATTGGTTTTTCTTCATCAATTGTTTTATTTCTTATAGATGTTTTTTAGGCTTCTTTAGATTGATGGAATAAGCGTAGCGGAATAAAATAGAATAGAATGATATTTCATTGTTTGAATAATTTAAAAATGGATGGAATGGAGTAGAATCGAGTGGTATGGATTCCATTACATTTCATCATTTATCACAATAATCGTTCCTCTCTAATTTGGGCGGATTAAACAACTTATTTTGTTCCGTCTTAAAACTTTCAAACAATTGAATGATATCTTTGTTTCATTTCATTCCGCTCTATTTCATTTCGTTCTGCTTCGTTCATTTTATGATATCTAAACATAGCCTTAGAGTTGCAATCACATACCACAACATGACAAAGTAAAAGAAGTTGAGATACTAGGTCAATGAAAAGTAAAAAAAAAAAGACATTCTCTTAACAAACAAATGAAAAGGAATACACATTGGTTCAAACACTAAGAAGTAATATTTATTTGTATAGAGTTTAGAAGATATATTTGACATTAACTCAAAGGTACTCTCTTATCACCTAACATTTGATTATGTTTTTTAACTAGTAGTACTAAAAAAGATAAAGTTAATAGAAGAAAAAACAAGTTGTAGTTTGAGAATAGACTCAAAAACTAAAAAAAAACATTAGTTTCACCAAATAAATTTCTTATCTAACGTGGTTAACTAACATCGTGTTATTAAAGAAAAGAAATTGCAAATGGATGATGTGCATATATTATATTTGTCATACCCTAATTTTTATCTCTAAAGTCCCATTTACCATATCATTGCATGTCACCAAGATCATAAACTTGGTAGTCTCCTAACCCTCTCGGTCTTTGGGTTTGTTCTGTGGGAGATCATCAAACACCCTTTGTATTTTCTTGTATATTTGTATTTACTTGCTTTTATATTTTACTAACCTTATTCAAAATACAAAAATATATTTTGTTTCTCTTTCATATTTTTGCAAGGTACGGTTTTTTCATCAAAAGATCAAGTTGAGTTTCTAAATTAGGGTTTTGACCCCCTAAGTCAAAATCAAGGTCAACAAGGCTTATTCTTCAAGGCATGATCTATAATCTTAGTTCACATTCATTTCAAGCTTCATTCAACACCAATTGATCAAAAGAAAATCAAGTTTGAGGCATTCCTTCAAGAGTTTTCAAGTTAGAGTTCATGTGTTTATTTCCATATCCTTTTTCATTCAAATTTCTCAAGTAATCCTCAAGATTAATCAAAGGATAATCAAGCTTCAAGTATGTGTGTTTCTAACGATCATCATTGTGTCTTGGAATGCAAGAAAAAATCAAAAATCACAAGTTGGTACAAGTGTGGGTGACCTAAAAATCAAGTATGGCATGCATTTGGTCCAAACACCATAACTTTATCAATTCTAAATTTTTTAGGCCTTCTTTGATCAAAATGTCCCTTTTGATGTCCTCTACAACTTTGCTTCAGAGGTCAAACATCAATTTAAGCTCTAAGTCCCTCAAATATTGGAGGCCATTTATGCACAAAACTAGGTCATGACATGTTTAACCTAATGCCAGACTTGTTTTTCAGTGCCATGACCTCAACTTTCAACTCATGTCATTTTCACATCAAGCATCCTTTTGAATTGGTTCTTTTGCATTGTATTCTCCTCCATGCAAGGATCATTTGGCAAAAATAAAATCAGAAAACACATGAGAGAATTTCATTTGGCCTAAGCATGAACATGGTGACATGAACTTGGTTTGTACCGAGTGACCTATAATTGGAAATGACCTAAAAATTGATTGGGACCACTTTACACGTGTGCAAACTTATTTATCATGATGAAACACATTTGGTACAACACAAAACGACTTGAATTTCTCAATAAATCACACATTTCATTCTTATTCTCACACGGTTTAGATCTAGATTTTTATAAACTTGATTCACATGATTGAGATCCAATTTGGCACATATAATGAGCCCATTCACTATCTATAAATAGAGCAAGCTTCTGCTCTCATTTCCAAACTTAAACAGCCAAAGAAATTATACTTCTCTCAAGCCTGTTACTTCTCAAAAACCAAAAACCCTAAACTCATTTGCTTTTCGTTTTAAGTTTAATTCTCAACCCAGAAACCTTCATTGGCATCATCTAAAGCTACTTGAAGCATTACATAAGTTCAACAACACCTCTAAGTACCAACTCCATGTCACCATTTTTAGACCATCTGAGTTTACTTCGAACAGGTAGCTACGAGTTTCCTTTTCACTCAAACAAGTTACCACATTCTTCATCTTGATCTTCTGATGTTAAGCCCTCACCTAATTGGGATTTATCATTTATATTAGTCATTTAATTTTACTTTGAAGTTCCTAGGGTTTCTGCATATTTTTGTAAATTCTCTCTTCTCAGAGCAAATAAATTGCTCTGATAAAGAGAGACATGAACGATGAAGGAATACGAAGCTTGCACAATGTGTGTTTGAGCTTAAAAATTTCAGTTCATAAACTTGCTAAATTGAGCGTTGAAGGTTAAAGATGAAGTGAGTTCACGCGTTTGTGAGTGAAATTCAAATTCTCAGTCAATCATAGTGCAACGTATGTTCCTAGTGGTTGCTTTTTATTTTCCTTTTTATTGTTAATTCTATTTTATTTCACTTTATTTCAAAATTCATTAAAAATGGCTCCAAAATGATTTTCACTCCAATTTTTTTCTATAAATTTCTAAAATTATTTTCTACTACAAATATTTTGTTTCCGAAATTTTAAAATGATTTTTTTACATTTTTTTGCTATTTAATTTTGTTTTTATTTTTAATTGATTTTAAACATTTAATTTTCCATCATTTTGAAATATTTTGGATCCAAACTTTTGAAATCTTGATCCTTTGAGTTTTTCTAATTTTCTCAAATTTTTGTGGACATTTATTTGATGTTTTAATGCATCTTTTAAATTTTCTTTTTATTTTCCATTTTAAACTAGTTAAAATCATTTTTAAATTCAATTTAAATTTTATTTTTATTGTTCTTGATGATTGATACTTTTGACTTTTTATTGACTTGGTCAATTGTGGTTAATTGAAGCTCATCTTGTTCAATTGGGCTTTTGATGCTTGATGAACTTTATTCATTTCAAATCCATCATTAAATGATCATTTGATTATTTTTTGTACTTTGGATTGATGATAAGTTTGTCACAATGTATCATGAAGAAGATGAATTAAAGTAATGATCCAATCCTCTTGTCTTTGTGCTTGATCACCTTTCTTCTCCTTATTCTTTCTTTTTGCTTTGTTTAAATCATGATGTTGCATTATTTTCGGGGGATGACTTTGTATCATTTCTCTAACATGCACTATACCTACATTGCTATTGTCTGCCCTCAAATAGTTGTGAATTCTACATAAGTCTAATTATGATTGTTTAACATATCGCTAAATTATCCTGAATCGGTTAATCAACTATTAACATTAACATTAACTCTATATTATTGTGTCAACTTTACTTTTCTGCACTTTTACATTAATTTCATTTGATTTCTTGCCCTTTAAAATATAATTAAGTTAGTAATAAAACCTATTCATTCTAATTATTTTTAAGTTATTTACAAAATAATTAAAGTTGTACCTAAAATTAAAATTTAATTAAGAAAAAATCCTAAATCTATTTTTATGTGATTTTTATATTTGTTTATTGATAAAAAATAAAATGGATTAAAAGAAATAAATAAAACGAATAAAACATAAAAATAAAGATGGGCCTAGTAGCAAAAGTAAACAGGGGGTGCAATCATCAGAAATCCCTAGGCCTGAATCTTCGAAAGCTTCATGCTCTAACTATGGTGTTTTTTGATTCTTGCGTGGAACCTATGATTCAACCATCCATAACTGTTCTATATAAACTCAAACAAACGTTAGCATACCATAAAATGTGATTAAAATTAAAGATTCGAAGTTTAAAATTTTACCAAAGCGGTGTTGTCAAACGGGGGGCATGCTAGGCGTGTGATGGATTGCTCTTGGGCTTTGTAAGACTCTTGAGGACTTCAAGAGGATGGTTTGAGGCTTGATGTCAATTGAGAGAGACCGAAACCTCGAGATATGACTTGCACCAATTCTTTGATTTCTGGAGAGCTTTTTGAAGAGCTTTTAGAGAGCTTTTTGAAGAGCTTTTTGAGAGATTTTTAGAGAGGATTTTCGTCCCTTTCAAGCTTGTATGACTCTATATTTATAGAGGAGAATGAGGAGACAAGAAAGCATGGAAATAATCTCCCTCATAATGTTGTGTTTTAAGACCATGATCAAGATTTGAAAAAAATGCCATATTTGATGATTTTATGCCATTTTCACATGTGGATGAACCTGGACATATTTGAAAGGTTATTGCACGAAATCAATTGTCATAAACCAGCATAAAACTTT